GCCTATGGGTGTGGATGCTTTAGCGCACCCGTGGCCAAACGCACTACTGTAAGCGTTTCCTCCACTGAGACTGATCTTTCCAACTTTAAGAAGGGTAAGAGAGTACGGTCACTCAGTCATAATGATTGCCCCGAACTGGCCAGGGAAGTTGTGGTTGACGGAGATAATTCAACTCCTTTGCGACCAGCCTTGGCCTCTCTTCTCTCACAAGCGCGCGGGGAGATCTTTCACCCAGCCCCAGACAAAGTGGCTCTTTGGGCCTGGCCCGTGAGAGGTTAAACTTGAGTGTGACGGGTTTGCCTTCGTGATTGAAACAATTCAGAATGCACGAGCAGCTTCAACGCGCTCTGCATATGATCCGAAATGGACTGTGTTTGAACGATGGTGCGCACACAGACACATTGTTCCTTTTCTCTGTTCTGTTGCGGATGTGTTATGTTTTCTGCAGGAACTTTTGGATAAGGGCAGAGCCTTTTCAACTGTTAAGGTTTATCTTGCCGCAATTTCTGCGTGTCATGTTGGGGTTGACAGAAACACTATAGGTCAACACCCGCTTGTATGCAGGTTTATGAGAGATGCACGGCGTTTGAACAGGGTTTCAAAGCCATTGATTCTGCCGTGGGATCTGTCTGTGGTCCTTAAAGGAGAACTCCGGCGCAAAATGAACCTTTGGTCTAATTACACATTGTTACCTAGTCAACCGTTATCTGAGATTTGTTTTCATGATTATCGAATGTAAATAGTTTTATCTCTAAAAACAGTTTAGCCTATAACGCTAGTATAACGCTAGTATATAGGGCATAGAGTAATGACAAATAAAAATCGCTTGTTAATACCACTAACAAGGCTCAAAATAGCCCCACACTAACACGGTAGCATAATGAGGGTCCCTACCTTCAAACCGAAGCATTGAGAACTTTGTCAGTGTCCAGACAGTTTAATAAGAAGATATTTTATACATACAGTCAACTTCGCGTATACAGGCAGAAGCCATCTTTGAAAAACAGTCTCTACCAGTTGATCTACGAACGCCGATCCAAGTGCGCTGGTGAGATGTGAACGAGCTATAAGTTGTGATCAGGTGAGCGCGAACAGTAGGCTTGGATCGGTGTCTGCTTCAACTAAACCATTTAGTGCTTTGTAGGTAGTCAGCAATATTTTAACATTTATACAATGTTTAATAGGGAGCCAATGCAGTGTTGACAGTACCAGGCTAATATGGTCATACTTCCTGGTTCTGGTAAGAACTCGAGCTGCTGTGTTTTGGACCAGCTGTACTTTGTTTATTAAGCGTGCATGGCAACCACCCATAATAGCATTACAATAATCTAGCCTTGATGTCATGAACGCATGAACAAACTGTTTCACATTTTTCATTGAAAGCATATGTCATAATTTAGATATATTTTAAAGATGGAAGAATGTGGTTTTACAGATGCTAGAAACGTGACTTTCAAATGAAAGATTGGTATCAAAGAGCACACTAACTGACGATGAAGACTTGACAGAGCAGCCATCAAGTGTAAGACAGTATTCTAGGTTATTAAGTGAGGAAGTTTTTTGGCCAAAAATTTGAATCTCTGTTTTTCCAGAGTTAAGTAGTAGGAAATTACTAGTCATCCAAATTTTTATATCAGCTATGCATTCCGTTAATTTTGTGAATTGGTTCGTTTCGTCGGGGAGCAAAGAAATATAGAGCTGAGTATCATCAGCATAACAGTGAAAACTAATGCCTATCTAATGATATCTCCTAAGGGATGTACAGAGTGAACAGCAATGGTCCTAGTACTGAGCCTTATGGTACGCCATACTGAACTTTTGATCGATAAGACATCTCCGTCTACTGCTACAAACTGATAACAGATAAGATAAGTATGATTTAAACCATGCTAATGCAATTCCACTAATGCCAACATAATTTTCAAGTCTATTTAAAAGAATATTGTGGTCGTTGGTATCAAATGCAGCACTAAGATCGAGTAACACTAATAGAGAGATACAACCACGATCGGATGATAAGAGCAAATCATTTGTATCTCTAATGAGAGCAGTCTAAGTACTATGGTAAGGTCTAAATCCTGACTGTTAATTTAATTCCATTGTAACGATCGTCAATTATTAACCCTCATATGCTCTTAGTTTCCTGTTTACACTCATTTGGAGTCTATACGACCCAAAACATGTATAGAGCTATTGTAAAAAAAATATAAATTTTAATAATACAAATTATATATATATTTTTTCCGTTTACTTCTCATCTATATTTGTATGCTGTGTTTCGGGGGAATTGGACCTCATTAAACGACAAATTAAACCCAATGTACTATTTAAATCGATTGTTGGACATCGTAATGTTTTTGTACATACATCTGCTTTATGATTTAGCATTGTGTTAGCAATTTCTGTTTTTAGCCGGTGGAGAAGGGGGACAGTTTGATGTTTCTGAGAATTATTTCCCTCTTTACTTTTAACACTGAAATGTATCTCCTCATTGTATCCTCATTGAGGATAACGAGCTGTAAAGTTGTGTTGGTACAGTTATGTGCAATTAAGTGGATGTTTTCTGTTGGTTAATTGCATTTCTCTAATTGTCTGAGTCTCTGATTTTTCAACATTGTATTGCCATTTGAATGTAACAATGCCTTGTGCCTATGTGTCTTAGTGCATCACAATGTGCATATGTTGTTCTGCATTTACAAAATAGAATATATTGATTCCTTCAGTATGTTGTTGTAATTTCTTTATTTGTTACCATAATTACTCATATTCTCCGGCCCCTTATTTTGCCTCAGTTTCATGAACTGGCCCCATTTCCAAATTAATTGAATAGCCCTGATCTAATGTAATAAAGTGCTGAGTAACTTTGCAAACTGCATCATTAATTTTTTTTTAAAAGTTTGCCTTCATTTAGGACTGTTATTGCTTTAGGAAAGTAGCTATTCCTAAATCTACTAGTCCTTGTTTTTTGACATCTGTAACGTCTCCCTGAGGGCAACAGTTCGAACAGCGGGTGACCAGGGTGAGAACAGTCAAGTGCAATTTTGGTGGCTTTAGACAGCAGTCTTGAATTGGCAATTTCCTGTAGTGAGGGAAGAGGACAATTGAAGATCTTCTGTGCTGTGTTGATCACTCTCTGTATTCTTTCCTTGTCTGCTGCAGAGCATCCAGCGCACCACACAGTTATGCTTTCTATGGACGAACGGTAGAAAAGCACCAACACCTTCTCAGACAGATCGTTTTTTTAAGGAGTCTGAGGAAAGTTCTTTACCACTGCTGTGATATTGTCCGTCCATGTGAGTCAGTCCGAGATGAGGGTTCCCAGGAATTTAAAGTTTTGAACCCTCTCCACTACCCATTGATGGAAAGAGGGAGGTGGTCGGAGAGTCCAAGGTCAGACAGCTTCCTGATGAGGATGTCTAGGATGATTGTATTAAATGCAGAACTGTAATCTACAAAGAGCATCCTCACATATGTCCCACTGTGCTCTAGATGGTTTAGGGCTGTATGAAGGGCTATGGTGATGGCATCATCCGTCGACCTATTCGCTCTATAGGCAAACGCGTGTGGATCTAGGGTCGATGGTAGACTGGTTTTGATGTGCTTTAATACCAGCCTTTCAAAGCACTTCATAACTACAGGGGTGAGTGTCTATTCAGACTGCTGGGGGAGGGCTTTTTTGGAACTGGGATGATGGTGGATGTCTTCAGGAAGGATGGAAGAGTGAAGAGTAAACACACCTGTTTGACTGTGTGTATTTGTGTGCGCGCACGTGCATGTGTGTGTGTGTGTGTGTAATCATGCTCATTCCACATTGTTTTTTTGCTCTAGTGCCAGGCCTTCATTAATGTGTGAAAATTTTTATATTCATGCTGGAATTATTAATTTTATTTGCCAATTTCAATAAAGATGCTCTCTTAGTCACACCTGTTTGTTTGTGTGTGTCGCTCTGTGTGTATGTGATCTGTGTGTAGTCATGTTCTTTCCATATTGCCTTTGTGCTCTCATTGCATATCTTCATTTGTGTGTGACATGTTTTAGTTTTATGCAGAATTTCTTTCCCAATTTCTATAAAAAAGCTCTCTATTGCAGTCACACCTCTCTCTATCTGTGTGTGTATTTATGTCTGTGTCTGTGTGGGTGCACATGTGTGTGTGTGATAATGTTCATTCCACATTGTATTAGTGATCTAGTACCAGGCCTTCATTTATGTGTGAGAATTTTCAGATTTATGCTGGAATTATTGATTTTATTTTCCAATTTCTATAAAAATGCTTTCTATTGGAGTCACACCTGTGTGTGTGTTTGTGTGCGCGTGCACGTGTGTGTGCAGGTGATCATGTTCGTTCCACATTGCATTTGTGCTCTAGTACCAGGACTTCATTGCGGTATGGAAATTTGTTTTGATTTATTCTGGATTTCATTCTGACAAATGAACAATAAAAAACAAATTGTTTTCGATTTTCCTAACCATTTCAATGTGGGACCCCAAAGGTCATGAGTGTGACTTTTTTTTTTTACATACCTTTAGAACAACCGAATCAAGCCCAGTTTTTTAGTGTGTATAGATAGATCATGTAGAAAAAGTGACACAATTTTATGCAACTGAGATGAAGGGAACCATGTTTATTTACTACGGAAAAGTCGATTGGGGTCATATAGACCCCAAAGATAAATTGAGGGTTAAATTGGTTCATTGAGCAAAATTTATTTTATATTGTCATCATCCAGCTAGGTTCAGTTCTCATACAACAGCATCAGTACAGTCAGATCAATAAAATTGTTGAATAATACGTGTCCTAAACTAATCAAGCCAGAGGAACATAAACAATGTACTCTTTTTATTTTCAATACTTGGTAAATTATGTAAAGCTGGTGTTTACAAACACTGTGCTTAAAATTTACCATTAAATCAAAATGGGTAATTCTTATATTGTTATGGATTGTTGTAGAATATATATTATAAATGATTTATGCGTGCACATTATTATTATTTTTTTAATTCATGTGCCTTCGTAATCTTTATAAAATAACTTCCCCCTCCCTTCAGCACAGCAAAAGTGGAAAAGATGTTGATAGAGAACTGAAGAGCCCAAATCCATAAGAACCGCTAACGTATTCTGCAAGACAGGGGGAAAAAAATCAACATCAATCTAGCCTGAGTGAGTACATGAGTAGGCCTAAAACCAAATCAAAGCTAATCAACAGATTAGAAAACTAGCTCAAGTATGCAAATTCATTGCTCTGTACAGTAACACTTACAGTTAGATGCACAGGAGTATGAGATGTATAGGTATTTGAATGTGCCGACACATGGATCCGAGAAGACGCTGTTGGAGGCTAATATGGAGCATCTGTTTTTCCCTTCACATCTACACCATAAAAATACCAAGATTTGATAAAACAAAAACTTCTTTTTATTACCCTGCTGGGAGGAAACACTTAAACTAGCCTATAGTCTTAGCTGGTTTCCCAGCCTGATCAACATGAGATTGTTTGTTTTTTATCAGGGCAAAGACTGAATTACCTGTGTAAATTTGTATATTGTTCATGTAAACTGACCCATTAGCGACTATTGTCTGTGAATTTAAGGCGTAGCAGTCAGTTTTGGCAAGCTGAGAAGCAGGTCGTCCAGTAGAACACGTCATGCTATCAGTTCGCCCATAGTTAGCGCTGTGAATGTGTATGGCAGTTCCATCCTCTGAAAACAACAGTTCAACTTTTTACAATCTCTTGGATGAAAAAAAGTCATTATATACTATAACTTTTACCATTTAGAAATAAACTCTGGATTATCGGCTGAAACATTAAAAATAAGCAACAGTCAAGTAACAACAGAATACACACCACACTTCAGGTCATTAGTTTCCTGTTCACAGACCAAACTTGAACCTACAGAAAAAGGAGAGATGTTGTAAAGCAATAAAAAAAAGTTAAAGTAAAGTAAAACGTACTCGGTTACTAACGTAACCTCGGTTCTCTCTAGAGAGGGAACGAGTACTGCGTAATATCTTACGCTATGGGAAAAACCTCTTTTCCTCGAGATATTGAAGCCAAAAATTATCCTTAATTTTGAATCAATGTAAAACGCGTTGCGACAGCATGCAGACATAGGCAAGGCGGCTCGCGTGCCTATTGGCTGACCTGTGGCAACAGCAGCAGCCTATCGAGAGAGGCCCAATGGGGGTGCTTCGCGCCCATTTACGTCACGTCCCGCCAGAATAGGCGTGGCCTTGGCCTATAAATATAGCTCGACAGGCTGATACAAACTGGTTTTCATCGCTGAAGCGAACCAGAGCTGTTGTATGCACGGCAAGATACGCAGTACTCGTTCCCTCTCTAGAGAGAACCGAGGTTACGTTAGTAACCGAGTACGTTCTGCTACGAGAGTATGTCTCGTACTGCGTAATATCTTACGCTATGGGGAACACAATGCAACACGCCGTGCGTACTGGGATCCAACACCAAAGTCTCAAGGGCAGTTGCCCGGGGCTCATATAGTGCATAATCACCATAGACTCGCAGAGAGTCGGAGAAGAGAGGCTGCAAGTATCATTCCCCATGAAATAGCATCCTACAGGAGCTAGTGATGTTAGCAATGTTTCACACAGACAAGGTGAACGTGTTCAGCCTGAACTGGGTGACAGTACGGGTTATTCAACACCCATGGAGCTGTTTTATCGATCAGTGAACGATACACAAGCAAAACTCAGCATTCTGCGCAGCGGGGCAGATAGTACTGAATTCTAGACCGACAGCAGCTTGGCCTGTAAGGCGGGAACCTCTAGGTTATAGAACCTTATAAATGTAGACGGCGAGGCCCAGCCTCCCGCCATACAGATATCTTGTAAGGAAATCCCGCTCGACCACGCCCACGACGAGGCCACGCCTCTGGTGGAGTGTGCTCTGACACCCAAAGGACACTGCAGGCCTTTAGAAGTGTAAGCCAGCACTATGGCATCGACTATCCATCTGGATAGGCTCGGTTTTGATGCGGCCAGTCCCCTGGAGCGTCCGCCAAACAAAACAAAGAGCTGCTCGGTCTGTCTGAAGACAGACGAGCGGGACACGTAAGCTCTCAGTGCCCAGACAGGGCAGAGGAGACTCGCATCCTCCTCTTCATCATGAACCGGGAGGGCGCACAGGGAAATAACCTGGGCCCTGAACGGTGTGTTGAGGGATTTGGGCACGTACCCGTGCCTTGGTTTGAGTATGACTGAGTCATTAGGCCCAAACTCCATACATGACGCGCTTACTGAAAGTGCTTGTAAGTCCCCTATGCGCTTCACTGAAGCGAGAGCCATAAGAAACACCGTTTTGAAAGACAGATGTCTCATGTCTGACAAATGGATTGGCTCGAATGGGGCACCTTTCATGGCTTCCAAAACCGTAGAAAGGTCCCACACAGGGACTGAAGGGGGTCTGGGAGGATTCAGCCTCCAGGTTGTTTTTCCCGACCGCAGCTCCTGAAGGAAGGAGAGTACTTCCGTAACCCCGCAGTCAACGGGTGAAAAGCCTTGAGCTTGACACCAGGCAGAGAACACCGACCATTTCGTGGAATAGAGCCGTCTAGTAGACGGGGCTCTGGCCTGCGAGATCGTGTTTAACACTCCCTCCGGGTGGTTAGCGGGTACCCGTTGATGGCCCACGCATGTTGGGACCATAAATCCGGGCGAGGATGCCAAATCGAGCCCTTTGCCTGAGAGAGGAGGTCTCTCCTCACCGGTATAGGCCACGGGGCAGTGCTGGTCAGCTGGTCAGCCGCATCAGATCTGATCAGCCACACCAGATCTGGTTCGTCCAGAGCGGAGCCACGAGCAGCACTGGGCATCCGTTTTCCCTGATTCGTTCCAACACTTGAGGCAGGAGCGAAACGGGGGGAAAAGCATAGAGGGGGCAGCGGGGCCATACGTGGGCCAGCGCATCCCTACTCTTGGAGAAAAGGTTCGGAGAGTGAGCGTTTTCTTGGGACGCGAACAGGTCCACCTGCGCTCTGCCGAATGTCTCCCACAGCAGTTGGATCGTCTGCGGGTGCAGCGACCATTCCCCTGCTGGGACATTGTCCCTGGACAGTCTGTCTGGTCCCAGATTCAGGTGACCAGGCACATGCGCTGCTTTCAGTGAAAGCAGGTTGTGCTGAGCCCAGACCAGGAGGCGTTCCGTCAGCCTGTAAAGGTTTCGGGACCTGACGCCGCCCTGGCGATTTATGTATGCCACCACTGACATGTTGTCCGATCGGACCAAGACGTGGTAGCCTTTTTTCTGGGGACAAAAGCGCCGTAGCGCGTTGTCGACTGCCAACATTTCCAGACAGTTTATGTGTAGAAGCTTCTCCCGTTCTGACCACTGGCCAAAGAATGGTCTGCCCTCGAGCAGCGCTCCCCATCCCGAGGTGGAGGTGTCCGTGGACACCACCATCACACTCGAGGGAGTCTCGAGACTCACGCCTGACTGGGACCAGTCCATTTTCCAAGGTTCCAGAGCCGCAATGCATTTCATGTCGACCCTGAGGTAAAACAGACCAGAGGTCCACGCCCGGGGTGGAACACGCGCTTTCAGCCATAACTGCAGTGGGCGCATGCGAAGCAGGCCCAGCTGAAGTACAGAAGATGCTGAGGCCATGAGGCCCAGCATTTTCTGAAATCTTTTGAGTGGGACTATAGTGCCGCGGCGGAAGGATCTCGCAGCACGCTGAATGTCCAATCCGCGCTCCGGCGACAGACGTGCTATCATAGATAGCGAGTCCAGCACTGTTCCCAGAAAAGAAATTTTCTGGCTGGGAAACAGCAAACTCTTCGCCCAATTGACTGTGAGACCCAGATTCTCGAGATGCTCGAGTAATGTGGTTCTGTGTTCTATGAGCTCTGATTGTGATCGAGCTAGAATCAGCCAATGAAGTCTCAGGGGTGCGAGAGCCGCGTCCATGCACTTCGTAAATGTACGGGGTGCTAGGGACAGGCCGAACGGTAGGACTGTGTATTGATATGCCTGGCCCTCAAAGGCGAATCTCAAGAATCGCCTGTGACGTGACCAGGGTTCTAAATTAACTTTTTTGATCACCAGCCAATGTGGCTGGTAACTTTCTAAAGTTACCAGCCAATCAGAATTTCCACTAGCCAAATTTTTTTCCGGTGAAAATAAGAGAAATTATGAGTGCCACTGAATGCATTTGATCATTTTATTAACATTGTTGGCATGAAAAACACATATAAAGTACAATACAACACAGAAAGTGCAAACATTTCATTTCAAGTTTGGTATCTATCTATCTATCTATCTATCTATCTATCTATCTATCTATCTATCTATCTATCTATCTATCTATTTGGGATGTGCACGAATATTCAAATTTTCGATCTGTAATTCAAAAAAATAAAATACTATTCGAATTTTTTTTTCTTTTTTTTCCCAGTTATAATTAAATGCACTGAGTGGAGCGTGTTTAACAAGTGGATTGTATTTGATCACATAATGTCATTGTCTGCCTCACGAAGTTTGGAATTACTTAGATGAAAATTATAGCCTATTACAAAATGGAATTACTTTTAATCAATTATTAATTAAACTGAGTTATCATAATATCACCACCACAATATATAGGCCTATGAGAATAGAAATCACATGAAATACAAAGAAACACCAGTCGACTGAGGAAGCAGCTGTCCATCACTGCATTAACGACTGCAGGACAGCAGCTGTACCCCAAGGGAATCATGATCCGAGATGATATCTTCTGGTAGCAAAATGATTTTGAGACATATGCTTCCTTTAAATTTCGTTGAGGGATACAGGTTTAAGAACGTCTCGGTTACGGATGTAACCCTCGTTCCCTGAGTAGGGAACGGAGACGTTACATCGGATGACGGAGAATGGGGGTTTCGCCAGAAAGCCTATCATCTTCAAATATTAAAAAACGAGCCTATGGCAATGAAATGCCATGGGTCTGCGGAATTTGCATAATGTATCTCCGCCTCACCGCGTGAGTATTTAAGGAGAGACACCTGCAACAGCAGATCATGTATTCGCTGAGGAGCCGAGACTGAACTCAGGCGTCGACCCAGCGGTACAGCGGAAGTGGCATGGAGACGTAACGTCTCCGTTCCCTACTCAGGGAACGAGGGTTACATCCGTAACCGAGACGTTCCCTTTCGTAGTCACTCCGAGTTACGTCGGATGACGGAGAATGGGGGTCCCCGTGTAATCACGCCACCTTCACAGCTGTCTTCCAGTGCCCTGCGAAGTCTGACCTCCCTGTCGTGATATAGGCACGGACGAAGGAGTCCTACTTAACACAGGAATACCAAGGTACACTGGAAAGCATATCTCAGGGGAGATATGCCGCAGCATGCCTACCCGTAGGGAGGACTTAAGAATACACATATGGCCCGAGGGGGCTACATATGGAGGAACACTGGAATGACCAGCCCGTAGGGTGGCATCTACTTTTAACTCCAGGAGTGGCAAGGTGGCTTGCCGAGGGAAAGACACATGCTCAAAGAGGCTTACAGTGGAAATACACATGTGGGGGTTGCTCGGAGGAGGAACCATGCACACGGAGGCACCTAGCCGACGCACAGGCAATAGACACTGGCGGCAGCGTCAACAGTGCTGGAGGAACTCAGGGCTTCAGAGAGGAAGGCTACCTGAGGAATTATCGCACGTATCCAGTCCGTGGAGTGGAGTGGCGAGCAAGCGAAGACACCTAACGGTTCCCGTGTTAGCTTGAAAAAGACAGTACACGGGAGGAGACTGGCTCCACTCGGAGATTGTAAAATCTGGCGAATGTGTTAGGTGTCGCCCAGCCTGCAGCTCTGCAGATGTCTGTCAGCGAGGCGCCACGCGCTAAAGCCCAAGAGGACGCCACACTCCGGGTGGAGTGGGCGGTCACACCA